GAAAAGAAAATGATTTTCCTTAAAAGGCTTATTAGAGTATTAATCAAAGAAAAAAAGTAAAGACAAAGATTGATGAATCATTTCCAAAACACATTCGGTGATAACTGATTTACATCGTAAAATCCCTTTTTCAAGATGGATTATTTGAGGCTATTTAGGATTAGTTCCTCTAGTTGGCTAACGGCCTCTCCGGTTGGCTAAGCCATCGAAGTACGACATTATTTCTAGGATGATCGAATCTTTCATATATACCAACAGAGTTTGTGTATTTATACTAATCACCTCACTAATTATTTACGATAATAACTTAACCAAGTTATTGTCGTTGGTTAATACAATAAAATCTATGATTTGTCTTGTCATACATACATTCAAAGGCCGATCAACACGGTGAGTTCACGTTTGGAAAATTAGCTTCTTCTTTTTTTTGGTCAAATCATAATAATTTTGTTAATTAAGTCGACAAATCAAGAGCGGCTTATCTTTGAAAACGAATAAGCCAACAAATTGGCCTCTCGTGGTACAAAAGAAAAGAATAGTAATAGGAATTGCAACGCTAATAATCTAATCTCGAAAAGCAGATTATCAATCTCCGGGATGTGATTCCTTCTTGAGGAGTAGGTTAATCAAAACCTGTAAATCAGAACATACGTGTAAGCATTCAACCCCTTTATCACGAGCCTTCTGAATCGTCATAATCAAAGCCCACACTTAGGCAGCTAACACCGAGGAAACGTGACATTTTACTCTCTGAGGATTCCTCCCTTTTGGTTCCATGTCTATGCATCTTCCTTAAACCACCAGCCTAAACCACAAGTAAATGATTCTTTACTCCGGTATGCATCGGCAAAGCAAACGGTACCTGCAAGGTGAGATGGGTCTGAGTATGACATTGCTTCGGGAGTTCTTCTCTTTGGCAGGGAATCTTGTGCAGCTTGGCAAAAAAGTGGTGGATTGTTTGTAAAATAAAACAAAGACTCATATATGGATTTGTCAAAGGTGTTAGACCTAAAGATGATTGGGTATATAATGTGAGGCTCACATATACGTTAATATAGGTGATGAACACACGTTTCCTCTTATGTCCAGATAGAATCCCGAGCTCATTTGATATAATTAATCTCATTGTTTTCTATTTGATTCCACCTGAGATCTTACAACACAACTTCTGCATAGAGATCATCTTCTTATGCTATAATTTATTACTAACTTCTTTTTTTAACACTTTTAGGTAGAGACGGTACTTCATCACTTACAAGGAGTGTTCTTCAACGCCTATTCCTTGGGGACCTAATCTCTCCGAACCGTGAAGAAGAAGCAATCCACTCTATAGCCTCAATTCCTCAAGGAACTCGACAAAGGTAACATGCAACATTTATTCTTTTTTTTTGGAACATACATTCCTCTAGGAACTCGACAAAGGTAACATCCTACACTAGTTTGGTTGTATGCAATAACCTCGGTTCAAACAAAATGATTTGGTTTGGGCTTGAATTTTTCAAAATTAAAATGTTTCCTAATTTGACTGTTTAGTAAAAAAAACATAAGAACTGAAGAAAACGCCGGTGATGCGTTCCAAAAACTAGTGATATTAGGTTTAAAACAAATTAATGGCTTATTCCAAAACTTATAAATGTTTATCTATTTTTGTTTTTGTCGGCCTATTAATGTTTATCTTATGGAGATGATACGAGTTTAATTAACCTTTTTACTATTTTGTTGCATTTATCTTATATGGATCAACTTGGTGATATTTGTTCTTTCATGTGCGGTTTCAAGAGCATAATCTCTATTTTTTTTTTCTAAATCTCCTTTATATAAAAAGGAAAGATTTTGAGGCTTCTAAGATATGTCACATCAGCAAAAATATTCATAAAAAATATTCACCTCCACCAAAATCGATTCTCAGTAAACAAACGGGCCCCATGAAGTATTCTCCTCATCCAGCTACGTGATTTCAATCTCACAAGAGAGTCTTTGTACTTTGAATTTGATCAAAGAGAAGGATGATGATAGCGGAGATTGGGGTCCCTGCAACCTTTCTCGGTATGCTGGTTATACGAGTCTCATATATTGGTTAGAGTGCCTTTGATTCCAGTTAACCGATATTTTTGTCTTTCACAAATCCAGATCCGAGAGGAGATGGTCATTCTCATCTCTTTAGCTTCTTCACTGAAGAAGGTATATTAATGAGCATACACATTATCAGACTCAGAACATGTTTATGAGGTACAAAATCTAACCCACATGTGCAAAAGAGTATCAAGTAAGGGATTGTGGTTCGTATGTGGTATAGAAACAAGATGGTATTTGGTGATCAAAACATAGATATCCTGAGGAGACAACAATGGAGCTTTGTGCATTGAAGCTAGCAAAAGTTTGAAAAGGAAGATACTTGAAAAGACGTGAGAGAATTGATCTATAGAGAGGTATTCTATTCTCATACTGTTTTTGCTTTGATTGGATTGGTTAAGCTCTCAACAATGGCAAAATTTCTGTATCGCTTCGCCCACGTTTATCCATTGGTTAATCGTAATTCTTATAATGTCAAACAATGCATATATTAATAGAGTATTATCCAATAATATTTTCGACGTGGAGAACACACTACCTTCATGTGCCAAAGGTATATAATAACATTTACAATCTGAATTCAGTGGTGATTTCCATGTGGTGTTATGACAAGTCAGATAAAGATTTTGTAATCCAAATGAAATGTAGTGGTGATGATCGGTTTAAGAGACAATTTGTGCATCTTGAAGAACATAACAGTAAGGGTGAGAGAAGCTCTCCTCTTCAACACTCCTTACTTAGCTACACGGTTTCTTCTCTTGGTTCTTATAAACTTCCATCATGACATTTGTTGTGTTGTCTTTAGTATAAATTTGTTTCAGAGAGAGAGATTTCCTACCCCTAAGAAAGAGAATGGATCACAAAAACTCAATATCGAGAACAGACATGCAGTTTCTTTACCACAACACTCGGAAGCCCTCCAAATTCTCAAAAAGAGGGATCCGATTACATGAATGGAATGAACAGGATGGTAATAATGCCTGAAGCTTGTTGAAAAGTGCCACCATGAGTGCATCTAAATGCATTGGCATGAAACAAAGAAACAAATCCAAGGTAAAGATCAATAATTATTTATAGACGTGTTACAAGTTTGTATATACACATTCTTGATAGCACCTTCTTCATATCTGTAAAGGTTATACCTGACCTAGGTAGCAAAGTAAGTAAGGTTATACTCCATTGATTGTGTATTTTATGATCAAGTTATTATAGTTTTTGCTTATAAGCTTCAATATTTGCTATGAAATTGCAGTGGCAAATGATGACCGGGTTTCGAAGGAATCGACTTTGTGAGGCATTGGTTCATTGTAAATTATGTTCTTTTCAAGGTTTGCAAGAATCTGTGAATGTGAAAGCTTATTTTCGTCCTTTTCAATCTGATTATCTTCTGACATTGTATAATAAATAGAGTAATTTGCAGTATAGTGATAATAGATGTTAAAGAATGATCATTTCTCTCTTTTATTGTGAGCTCTAGAACTTACAAATATAGTTTGCATAGTTCGAATAAAAATTGTTGGTTAGATCAATCTAAGAATCTAAGTCAAATGAGTATGTAGCTTTAGCATGAGCCTTAGATTCGTCTATGCATTTCTCTTTTTATTGTGAGCTCTGAAACTTGCAATATAGTTTGCATTGTCCCAATAAAATATGTTGTTTAGATCAATCAGCATGAGCCTTAGATTCATCTATGCATATGTGATTTGTGGGAATGCCGAAGACCGGTTTCGAGTTCATGAATGACTCTAATCGTCTTAATACCTCCATGAGAATCAAAACCTGATGGATCTTCGTCATTTCGAGGACATGTTTCTACGTCTGATACATAGACAGATAGCAACAAGGTCACGCCAACCTTTCCAGGTTAAAAACTTGGTAGATTGAAATGATGGATCAGAGTGAGGTGTGTTAATCTGGTTTGATAAGAAGATTCACATCTAATCAAAGACAA